AAATTGTATTGGTATTACATATGTAACATATACTTCCATGTAGCTATTTGCTGTACAAGAATTGTAGGAGATCCTATTAGCTTTAATGTTTGGATAGTAGATTCCTCAATAGTAAGTATGTTTTTGTAGCAGACTGACATCCTCCAGATGGGGTTGACTTAGGTCTAGGCACGGAAATGAATCTTTGTGGTGGCGTGATTGTCAAGCATGTTAAAAGTTAACTCAGAACATGAAACTATGAGGATCCACCATATTTCTTAATAAAACATGTAGCAGGTAATGACACAGGTAGTTCTAGAGCGGGATTTTTGCACAATGAGATGAAGAACATGATCAGATGGATTATGCGGTTCATCAATTCTTAAGTAAGTATGGTCTCAAATTTGACCAGGTTATTGCAAAGCATGGACTTGTGTTGCTATAGAATATACAACTATATTATTGCCTTTATAATTAGCTGTCAGGGTTGCTACATAAATATTATGATTTTCGATCAGACCAGAAATTTTTCAACTGGATGTTTTTCACTTGTCACCCTTAACATGCTTATAAATGAATTGTTAAACATCTTGAATATATATTTGATGATATACTATAATATACTATATTTTATGGTATACAAATACAATCAACTATCTTATGGTTTGGTGTAGTTTTGGTTAGTATTTTTATCTGTGTAGGTAAATATGTTTTTGCACAGTTGTTCGCAAAACATCATATAGATTATTTAACATATATATGTACCAAGTTGTACTTTGAATAAAGATATCTATCTATCTATCTGTAGTTATCTCATACCTGGTTCACAGCTTTGCAGCGAACCGCCCTTTTTATGGCGGTTGACAGAGTCTCTGTTTTCCTCCGTCAATGTGGCAGAATTCGCTGCATAGAATCTTAATGTTAACTATGAAATTTTAGGTTTTTGGATAATACAGACTACACTTGTGTATCCCACGGTGTTTTCTAAATTTAAAGCACCAGTTTATCCCACGGTGCATCTTTACATTTTCATATATATCTATCTATCTATCTGCATTTTGCAGCAAGGTTGCCATATTATCTTCGGGTAACCAACCATATATCTATCTACATATACATATACATCTATCTATCTATATATATATATATATCATATGAATCTATATTATGAATAAAAGCTGTGGCCAGATATCGCCAAACCATATATGTATTTTGTTTTAATGGCACCATCTGAGATAATGGAATTTAAGTAAATAGACTTAAATTCAGTTATCGCTGGGGCCACTGACGGATTGTGTTTCATGTTTTAGATTTACCTAACATGAGTGACGTTATATTCTGTGACGTAATTTAGTCCTTTACAGAATTTCAACGCAGTAAGCAAGCTGTTTAAATTTCGTAAGCGGTAAAATTGAAAACCCGCCCTCTCACTCCTTTGTTTTGTACGAGATACTGCTCTTTTGTATTTATTTTTCAGGTTTTTGTCGGTGACAGTGGTAATGCAGATTTGACTGATGATGTTAACTTGTTTGCGGTTGAGAAAAGTGACTTTTATTTGAACTTTGAGCATCATAAATAGATTCCCAGTAATGGCAGAATTCGCTGCATAGAATCTTAATGTTAACTATGAAATTTTAGGTTTTTGGATAATACAGACTACACTTGTGTATCCCACGGTGTTTTCTAAATTTAAAGCACCAGTGTATCCCACGGTGCATCTTTACATTTTCATATATATCTATCTATCTATCTGCATTTTGCAGCAAGGTTGCCATATTATCTTCGGGTAACCAACCATATATCTATCTACATATACATATACATCTATCTATCTATATATATATATATATCATATGAATCTATATTATGAATAAAAGCTGTGGCCAGATATCGCCAAACCATATATGTATTTTGTTTTAATGGCACCATCTGAGATAATGACTTGTTATAGTGTTCTTTGTATTTGTTTTTGTATATTTTTAACATTAACTGTTTAGTCCATTTTTATAATATCTTTTTGCCATGGTTCGGTATTTATACATCCCGCCATTGTGTTATTGTGCTGTGGTTATTTTTTGTACTCTTGTCTTTCATTTTTGCTTATGTACATTTTCTATTGAGTGTCTATATGCCATTTTGTTTTTCTTTGTTGACATAGTTGTTTGTTTTATAGTGATTAAGATTATAACACAATGTTGACTCCTGTACCCTAATTTTTGACATTTTTACCTATTGTGTCTGTTTGTTTTGTTCACTCATTGTTGTCAATATAATGGTGCTCAACATAATTGCATTTTACAATTTCTCTCCAAACAAATAAAAACGGATAAAAACCATCTTTCATGGGCAATGACTCCTATAAGCGGTAATTTGACAATTTCAGCCAAGTTGACTTGTTTGTAGATCTTATTTTGCTGAACACTTGCTTTTACAATTTCTGTGTATCTATTAGTTTCTGCAAAAAAAAAACATAAAATAAGTACAGTTAAGTGTTTGAAGGACAAAAACTCATATAAGGAGTCAATTGACGATTCATCCATGTAGATTTTTCTGTAGACCATAGTTTGTTAAACATTTTACTATCTGAAGATTCTTTCTGTCAACTTTTTTAGGGAGCAGGAATTAACAACAAAAAAATGCATAAAGGTACAAATCATCATTTAAAGGCAATAACTCCTATTAGCGGTTACTTGACGGTTTCTGCCAAGTTGACTTATTTGTTGATCTTACTGTTATGGTTATTTTTACTGAACAAAACATCTCTATCTGTATTGTTTTCAAAATAATTGGCAAAAACTGCGACTGTGGCAGTCCGATTTTTCTGAACATTCCACAGGAGATAGACCTTGATCTACTGATAATTTTTACCAGGACAGATTAATCTTAACTGCTTTTGTTTATGAGATACATTTTGTGTATTTGCCAATTATTTTTGAAATTTCTAAAACTTGACTTTTCCGGGGAATTTCTCCAAAATGGGTCGTCAAATTTTTCTGAAAATTCCGCAGGAGATAGACCTTGACCTGATGAATAATTTAACTAACATCAGATTTGATCTTACTGCTTTAATTTTTAAGATGTAAGCACAAATTTGCATTTTAACCCCTATGGTCTATTTTTAGCAAAAGCGCCCATGTTTGTTGATGGATCAAATTCCTTGATACCTTTTTAAACTAAATACCGTAAGCAACATTGAGGTAAAGTTTGGTAATATTTGGACCAGTAGTTTCAGGTGATTCTTTTTTTTTTATTTTATAACGATGGACGCCAAGTGACGGCAAATTAAAAAAGCTAAAATCTATCTAGGGCTCTAAAGAGCCTGTGTCGCTCTCATAAGGTCTGTGTGCATCTTCAACAATGGACACTCTCCAACATTGTGGACTAGAATGGAATTGATGACAAAAATCTCTTTTTTGTTGATTTTTATTGCTGATCCTTTTTTTCTGTTTTCAGTTTCTCTCTACTTTCTTTAGTTTTCGCCAAAAACACAAAAAAGGGTAAACAAATTGTAATTTAAAGGCAATCACTCTTATAAAGGGTCTACTAACGATTTCGGCAAAATATGATTTATTTGTAGATCTTGTCTTGCTGGTCATTTTATTTTATTTTTTTTTTTCATTTTTTGCTGGTAAAAGTGTCTATCTTTTATAGTTTTCAAGATGATAAACAAAAACGTAAAATATTGGTAAAAAATCGTCATTAAAGGGACATACTTCCAATAAGGAGTCGACTTATATTTTCAGCTATGTTGACTTATTTGTAGATCAAGTCTTGCTGATAATTTTGGTTATTTAAAGTGGTTATCTATCGATAATAGTTTTCAAGATAAGAAGCAGAACACTACAAATGAGTAAAAACCGTCATTAAAGAGCAATAACTCCACTAAGGAATGAACTGACGATTTTGGCCAGTAAACTTATTAGTCGATCTTGTCTTGCTGATCATTTTTGCTTATTTGAGTTTTTATTTATCTATTATATTTTTTCATGTATTAGGCAAAATCGCAGACAATAGGAAAAAATCGCTTTTTAAGAGTAACAACTACAATAAGGTGTCGGCAGAAGATTTCAACAATAGTGACTTATTTGTAGACCTTGTCTTGCTGATCATTTTTGCTTATTCATGTTTCAATCTATCTATATATGATAGTTTTTTAGATATTAGAAAGGAAAACTAGAAGCGTAAAATGACGCATTTTTGGCGCAAAGGGATTTCTTCCAATAAAGATAACCAAACTTAGGAAAGGTTGATCGCTAATAATCAAGGTCATTCTTTGTAGTCTTCATTGGCATATCCCAAGCCTTCAGTTCAGTAGTTGTTGTTGGTTGATGTCTGCCATATTTACTTTTCGTTTATTATTTTAGTATGGCTTCTCCTCTAAATTGTCTCTTATATTGTTATGCCGGGATATTTTACACCTTGATTTACGGTGTGAGTTTATTGAAGGCCGAATGGTGATCTAAAGCGGCTTTCATCTGCATCCTTTGGTTCTCTGGTAGTCGCAGTCTTGTTGGCAATCATACGACATCTCCTTTTTTATATTTATACATAACTAAAACAAACAGTGACTTTTAGAGGAAAATTAACATATGGTGAGTTAAAACTATTCATTCGACCCTCAACTTTCGGAATGTTATTTCGATAAGCGGAACACTATAGTAGAGAATAGAAGATTTGAAGAGCGTACAATATAAAATCAGGAAGCACACACTATACACGTACAAAAACTTTACATCAATGAAACAGATAAAAAAATATATCATTTCATAGACGGCTTTCAGTAACTGAGAGCAGATAACCTGATGTTGAAGTAAAAATAATGCTGTCTGTCTCGCCCCTCTTTTTCGTCCACTTTACTTTTGGGTAGGGTTGATGTATTACCATCATGAACAGTCTAGGACAAACTCATCTTGTACAATGCCAAAAGTTTACTTGTACAAACAGATTTAAAAAACGGAAAGAAATAAAATAAGATAATAGTTTGTTTCAAACAATACAAACAAGCGAATTGATATCAATAAAAACATACAAGAAACACTGATTTCTCAACCAATGTTAAAACCATATCAATATATAGGCTAAGAAAGTTTAAAAGAACGATTTTTAGGATAGTTTTTAAACGTTTGTTTTTTTTCAGCTTACTTAACAAATAAGTTGAATTGAAAAACAAAAATGTCTAAGATAGGTTCAATGTTTCATGCGAAATCAGATTTAATTTATCTTCAATTGTGTTTTATACACCTCTAGAAATTAATTGCTGTATGGTATGAATCAGTCGTTCGTAATTCTTCGCATTACCAGCAGAAAGTTGACCAGATTCAAATATTTCCCAGTGACCTTGGGTGTTCCTTGACACTGAACACATGATTACGGCCTGTGAGTTTCTTGCATGATGGAACGTTGTTTTGCAAAGATCCTTTCCAGGTTTTGAAGCATCATAAAATTTCAAACTTGGATTTGGATACTGAGCGATATTTGTAGAATTATATGCACTCAATGTGAAAAACAGATGTGTGATATTTGATGGAATTTTTTTCAATGAAACATTGATTTTATGGTGTCCAATCCGACGCCTATTGTCCATCATGTCTCCTGAATGACTTACTGCAACATAATTTATATCCCTGTAATCTATTACTCTTTTGTAAAATGTGCCTTGAAAAAGAAGACATGACGCATCGAGGTAATCGGTTCTGTTGTATGGATATCCCCAATAGAGGTCGAAAACAACATCATCAAAATGTTCTGGTATGCTGTATAAACAAATAACTACGCAGATAGTAGAGTTAGGCTTAACTCCATATTCTGAAAGAGTAGCCATCCCACCGTTTGTTTGATAAACCTGCAATTATAAAGTCAAATAGATTTTTAAAAAAAATAAGTGTTGACTTGAATGAATTTTTCGTCATACACATGATTTACAATTTTCTTACTTTCTGCTGTAAGTTTTCACATTTGTGAAAGTGATGAATACAAACATGTATTCATACAGAAAGAGCATCAAGAGCATTGTTGTTTTGTAATGAATATAGATATAAAAAAAAACTACATAACAGTGTGAACAGTAAACCAAACAAAAAAGTTAATAGTGACCGTAAATGAAAACCTCCAACCTGAAAATTACATGGATAAGTTGCACTATTAATCCTATGTTTGGTCGATACAATATAACATTATTAGTGCTTATTCCTTTTTTATTGAATTATTTTTAATTGTGTTGCATTTTTTACGAAAAAAATTAAAACCAAGGACACAATATATGATAATATAAAGATGGACGTGGGCTTACATGTAACTACACTATAACATTTTAAGTCATCACTTGGTGTATGAAATGGCACTCACAAATTGTCTGTAGGTCTGTCTCTTATATTTTATTTTGATGTGTTATCCCCTTTCAGTCAGCATATACTTATTGTGACTTTCCCAGGACATAAACATATAGTTCAGTAAGTGTTGTTTTACTTTCCGTTTTATGATATATTCTTAACTAAAAATGGTCGATTGTTATCACTTCTTTAAGTACACAATTGATTTCTTTTCGGCTTATATATAGGTCTAGGTTAGTCTATAAAAAGGTATATACTATGAAATTTAGAGCGAGGGGCTTGCCCCGAGCTCTTAATTTCATAGTATATACCTTTTCATAGACTATCCAATTTAGCACATATTTACAACTCGAGTAATCTTTTAATTGGTCTATTGATAGTTTATTTTGGCTGACTACTTGTATCACAGGTGTTTGTAAAACGGAGCTCATTAACGAAGTTTTGTAAATCTACTCACTAGTATCATTGTAAAATATGTTATTCCAAAAGGCCCTTGACTCCAGAATGAAAAGATGGTAGCTGCTGGTGTAAGTATGTATATTGATATAATGCGGTGTTTTACTATACATGTTCTTCTTACATGGTAAGATGACCAAATAAATTGACCAAAAGCAGGCATTAATTAAATTGCAGTGGAAGCTTTACATGTTTTGAAAACATTTTTTTAATTTCACAGTAAAACTAAAGCTATAATAAATTTGAAACATATAGATAGTTTGTCCCCATAGATATAGTCTAGCAGATAGGCATTAAAAAGCAACTACCAATAGATCACAGATTATAGGTTTTGTGTTTTTTTTGTTTCTTTGTTTTATTATTTCAAAGTAAAAACTAAAAGATTTATCAGAATATGTTTATATATATATATATATAATTGGCACATTATCTTCGGACATAATCACAGTTTTTCAATTCATGACATCGTCCTGAACATGCATGAAATATTTGCCACTGGAAATTAAGCAACCGATAATCAATAAATCAATCAATTCATGACGAAATAGATCACCTTCCTTAAGAAAGTTTAAAAAATTATCACCAAGTTGCTTTAATTTCCCCTTCACAAGGTTTCATAGTACACACTTTTTGTGTACAAAGTAATTGCATGGATGATACATTATCATAATTTTAAGATATCGTTGTACTCTAATCAAGGTATAAATAACCATATGTATAACCCTTTATTTAAATGAAAGAAATTTGCAATTGTCAAAAACATTTTTTAGATCCAAAGATTTTAATAGGAGGATATTTAAAAATCAACGTGAAAACTAATTACAAACTATTTAATTTAATTTGGAACACAGCATTTTATTTCAAAATAGCCAGTGGCAATTTTTGTTTTAAATATCTTGATTACGATACAATGAAATCTTACCCTTGTGGTCATTCATGCGTAGTTACTTAGTACACGGGAAAAGTATGTACTATGAAAATTAGAAGGCAAATATAAGCAATTTGATTGGACGAGAAGTTGTAAGTATGTGCTAAGGAATTTTTCTTTACCCTTTATTGCATGCTGTATAATGATCAGTTGATGTGTAGCTATTCATTTGTGATTAATCATCATCATGAATACTAATTGCTCTTATTTCGTAGACGCACACACTCCTTATATATACTAGTAATACTTACATTCATTTCTTTTCCTTCATAGAGAAGCTTCTGTCTGATTTTTTCATGTTTCAATTTTATTTGTATTTGGCTTTTCAATTGGTCAACTGTCATCGATGGGGAGAATAACACAGTGGTGGACTCGCCGGTTAGACCAGTGATGTTGATATACTGATTACTGCCACCCATATCAACCAGTGGTGTGTATGCAGACTCGTATTCTTTGAACTGCTTCGACAAGATAGCTTTAAATAGCAACATAGTTTCAGATTGATTTCCGATGACTAGACCACATTCAGGGTGTGGACACTGTTCTTGCTCGTCAATATACTTCACTATACACTAAAATGATAATGCTACATTTTTATTAATTTTCTAAATAAAAAGTATACATTCAATATATTATACGCTTATATCTTTAAAACAAAGATGAAGGACTGGATCTTCCTTTACTGCATTTGATACCTGTATTACATAAGTGTCCACACAAACAACGTTATATTGCTGGGTCCAAGAAACCTCTTTCTAAATTGTTAACATGAATTTTATCAGCAACCAAAGCCGGGCTTCAAAATTATTGTAAAAAAACTTCTTTAGGGCAGGCGTGAATCAGATGTTGATACTTAAAAATTCCAAAGATCTGTTATCTACATACAATCTAAGTTTCTAACCTCCTGTAATAGTATTCAAACATTTGACTTTTCTACCCTTTACACAAGTATTACCCATTCATAACTAAAACACAAATTGAAAGAATCGGTCCTATTTTGTTTCATAAAAAAGGATGTCCAACGTAGAAACAAGTATCATATCTTAGGAAGGAATAAATGGTACTGTGAAAAAAATCACTCTGATTCAAACAAAAAAATCTCTGAAACTGACATTATCAAGATACGTGATTTCTTGATTGGCAACGTATTTGTTGCGTTTTGAGGCGTGTTTTTCAACAAACAATAAGCATTCCAATGGAAACCAACTTTGCTTCTCTTCTTGTCGACTTGTTTCTCTATTCATATGAGGCTGATTTCGTACAGGAGCTTCTTAGAAAGGATTAAAAGAAGCTAGCATTATCCTTTAACTTCAAGTTTTGCTATAAAGATGGTGGCTATGTTAAACGCATCTATCACAATAGAATTTGAAATAACGGATACAACAGATAGTTAAGTCTACCTCATATATTGACTTACATCTAGAAATTGACAAACAACGAGGGTCGGTTGAGAACAAAATTTTACGACTGAAGAGATGATGTCAGTTTCACAATGGTGAACTTTTCATTTCTATATAGCAATATAGATGATGTCCTTTCACTGAATGATTCAAAGTTTGGTGACTACGGAACGCATCTTTCCAATCGAACTTGAAATAAAGAATACAACAGATATAGTCGTGTCTGCCTCGCATCTTGACTTACATCAAGAAGTAGACAATGAGGGTCGCTTGAAAACAAACTTTACGACCAAAGAGATGATGTCAGATTCACAACGGTGAACTGTTCATTTCTATATAGCAATATAGATGATGTCCTCTCACTGAATAATTCAAAGTTTGGTGACTACGGAACGATTCTATTCAATCGAACTCGAAATAAAGAATACAACAGATACAGTCAAGTCTGCCTCACATCTTGACTTACATCAAGAAGTTGACAATGAGGGTCGCTTGAAAACAAACCTTTACGACCAAAGAGATGATGTCAGATTCACAATTGTGAACTTTTCATTTCCAAATAGCAATATAGATGATGTCCTCTCACTAAATAATTCAATGTTTTGTGACTACGGCACGCATCTATACCATCGAACTTGAACTCAAAAATACAACAGATATAGTCAAGTCTGCCTCACATCTTGACTTACTACCGTTTTACCTCATCTTTATCGATATTTGTACAATTTACCTATATAATATCAAAATATAAAAAAAGCTGTTGGCCATTATTATGGTAGGTATTATATTTAACTTACCCTTAGACAAGTAAGAGATGGATGATCACAGTCTTTCGAAACGTTGTGAGATGGATATTCGTTCCTGAGCTTCTCAATTTTACATATGATACAAGCCATCTTGGTTTCTTTCAAAACGATTTTAAACTTGGTCTGTACTCTATACTAACTTTTCAACAAGGGTTGCTGAAATTGAAAACATATTCATCTGTGATATGATAACATTTACCTCGATCTCCGACCAGTGAAAATACTTTCTTCCTTCATATCTTCCGTCCCTTTTTCAGCTAATACACTCTTTTTAAGAGTTTATATCCTATGAGAACAGCCGGCAACGATTGCTTCATATTAAATAAATCAGACACATGTGAATGAAAAACTCAACGCCAATGAAATATTCGATTAAAAAAAATGACATATAGAAAAGAGTGAGAGACAGAAACTGAAATCAAACCTTTATAAGTAGTCATTGTTGAATAACCAAACTGTGCACACAAATTAATTCTGTAGATCGGCGATTATCTTGTCTGAGTAAGTTAGAAAAGGAGGAAACGAGTCTATCATTGAAATATAGATATGTTTGCATCTCACATATCTTGGCAAACGTTTTTTTTTGTTATTCATTTTGATATGACAAAAAAAGAGTTTAATTTGTAATGAAAACAGGCAGGATTTTTTTTTTAATATCTACAAATTAAAATGAGTGAGATAAATATTCATTTAATAGCCCAGTTGTGTATAATTTGTGACAATAGTTAAAGTCTGTTGTTATCTTGCAGACTTGTCCATTTTTATATTAACATTATTAAGAGGAGGAGACTTCCTTTTTATATTTTTTTCAATTAATTCTTTACATATAAGGATCAGGAAGTGTTGATAAGAAAGTATATCATATGTGCCATATATGACATAGGATAATGCTATACGGTTTAAACCATTTGACTTGCTGTAGTCTTAATTCACGGATGGCATTCGATTTATTGAGAAAAATATCGTGAAAGAATAAGTAACTGTGGTCAAGTATTGCGATCGAATCATGTTATATCTGACATCGGGTAGTGAAGGAAACCTTATCGAGAAGACACATACAATGTCAATAGTTAATCTAATTTGTTGAATTATAATAACAAACTTTGTAAAAAAATAAAACTGTCTCTCGAAATGCTTCAACCACATGATCAGTATTTGTGTGAAATAAACGTTTTCACTGTTTGTAGAAAATTACACAAGTCCGATTGATAGTCAACATTTTGATGACATAAAAATGTAAAACTAGCATGAATTTTATACATTATTTGAAGGACTAAATTAGAATTCTCTGAACAATGTCGTTCTATATTACTGTAAAATTATTGTGTAGTAGTTAATCACATTGATTGTAAAAAAAATGGAATATTTAGTTAAATCAGATAGTTGGATATTTCTGATTGGAAAGATCGGATACCTTTTTTTTCTAAAAAGTGTACTGCATGTTACCTTAATAGATATGGCAATGCTTTATCTCAAAGTTTCTGGTGTTACTGTCATGGGAAATAATTTCCTTTATAATGTTAGTTCTTAATGGAAGAAATAATGCAGTATTTGATACTACCGGAATGGGTCGTATATAATATTTTTCCAACAGGAACAGTTAGTTTAGTATTGTTTATAACAAAGTTTCCAGAGGAATTTCTGTTAAGTGGAACAAATATATATATATGTTTTTATTGCTACTTTTGAGCGGCCTCAAATAGCAAGATGCAAGTTTTCAGTAACAATTTTTCACGAAAATATAAAATTTTGGTCGGTATTTTTATATGAAGTATTATTCGTCGCCTATTCTTATCTATTCGGTTTCATAATCGAAAACTAGATAAAAAGGAAAATAAGGGAATTAAGAATATTCGGACCTGCACAAAAATGAATATGTTTGGTTAGTGGAAGGTAATATCAAATTAACAATAGTCTTGATTTGGCTTGCAGAGCTACATGTAAAATACCTACTTCTTATTTTTATCAAAATTATCAAATTAGTCCTTAAGGTATACAATGTCTTGAAAAAATATCAATATAGCTGACACCATAGCATAACTAACTATAAGATTTTTATTAATGTTATATGGCAAATTTTAACTTATTTTACAATTTTGCCTATTATCTTTAAAACTGTTATAGATATGAAGAAAGTAGAAGCTGTAGACAGCAAAAATCATAAGCCTTACAAGAACTACAAAAATTCTTATACGACCACATTATTGGATGTTTCCATGAAGAGCTATTGCCTTTATAATGATTGATTTCATACTTTTCCCCCGTTTTGTCCAAAATCTATAGTAGATAGACTGAAATATGATCAACATAACAGTAAAGAAGATATTTTGGTCATGCATAATGTAGTAGTCTATAATGTTTGAGAGCTGCTATTATTGAAGAAGCACAAAGATCCAGATAATCTACACAGGCTCTTTAAAGCCCTAGTCTAGTTAAGTGAAGTTATGAACAACATTAAATCATAATGGCAAGTGCCATTAAAGTATCTTTTAATGTTCTAAACCATTACATACAGTTGTCGTGAAGATTCTACCAACTACATACAGTTAAATGTTTATTTGTTAACATACCTGTTTCACTTTTGCCAGCTATTTTCCGACATTAGTAAAATGAATTTTCTAAAAATATGATATATGATCGATTGACCCGATTTTACAATATCTTACCTGTGTATTATCTATTTATATTTTGTAAAGACACGATGGCGTCGACTTCACCAGGGGATACGCTTTATCCAGTATATAGTAAGTTTTATCTTTTATATTCCGAGATTGATCCTTTCATCTATTATGAAACTGTATTTCTAATTCAACTACATTGAGCCCTCTCATGATAGTGTAACTTTTAATGTTCGAACCATTCGATTTTGTTCTCATTTGAAATGTTTCTTGTTTTTTGGAGAATTTTGTTTTCATGACAGATTTTTTCTCGTTATTGTTTAATTTATTCGCAACTTTATATACTCGGGGCGATTAAAAACTCAAAATATGTTGTACACATCTCGATATTTAAAAAAAAATGTATGATGTCCGCTAGATGTTTTTTATTTTTTTTATTATGTTTTTTCTTAGAATGTTGTCTGATATAGATGCATTTCCACATCTCTGTTTATTAACTTTTAATTGACTACATTCAGTTCCAGGTGAATTATTAAACATACCTGTTTCATTTTTGTCTTTTATTTTCCAATATTAGCAAGACTTCATTTTCAGAAAATATAACATACGATTGATTGACCCAGTTCAGTAAATTACGTGTTAGACTATTATACTCTGTAGTTTATCTGTATTAGAACATTATGGCGTCGAATACACCAGGAATTATGAACATTCAAAATCCAGCATATAGTAAGTTAATATTTCATATTCATAGAAAATCATGCACTTTGAAGAGACCAACTGTTATGTAATTGGCATGCGCAAAAATATCGACAGTGTATTGAGACGATAAATGTAACTGATGTTTCTGTAATAGAAATATCTCAAGCATAGAAAGGCAGAAATGTTAACATTTACAGAAAATCATTTACATGTGAGACAGTAAGATGATTTCCCTCTATCAAGTGCCTTTAAATTTTCTTCTGTTCTCTTTATCGGCACTAAAATTTAAATATCGATATGACTGTCTATCTAGATTTCACGCAATACTGCCTGCCTAGTAACATGCTATTGTAATATGATATTGATTATTGGTAAATCACTCACTCCAAGTAGAGATATTGAATTCCAAGCGAAATTATTTTTCAAATTTCAATTCAGCAATTTTTGTTCATTGAGTACATTATATATTTCAAGGTATGCTAACTGTCAAACATGAATGAATGAAGGGAAACTCATATGCCAAGCGTTTTTGTACCGCAAGGTTTTATTCCAAAAAAAGAAGGTAACAGATTGGGATTAATTTTGGGGGTTATGACCCTAGCCGTTTAGGAAAAAGGGGCCATAAACAATACTTTTCAAATACTTTGTATTAATTACTTATTTCTTGACCAATTTCAATGGGGTTTAAGGCGAAGTATACGTAATTGCACGCCTCTAGCGGAATTTGGGATAAAAAATATGCGTCGTTAGTTACGCGAGTTATCTCCCATACTCCAAGAAAGGAAAAATGTCTTAAATGGGCACATGAAAGAGAAATGACTTCGTGCGGTCTATCACGAATTCAAACAAGTATTCCTGTGCTATCTCAAAACTTCAAAGAAATTATCAGAATGACTCCAATCAGAAATCTGAGTATACTATTGTGAGGTAGTCTAACTCTATTTAATACCACTGCTTTTGTTTTAGACACGCAGAAGCAGGTACACAATACGTCTCGTGTTTATTTCAACAGAAAGTTAAAAACGCCTAACAACAAAATTATAACCAAATAAAAAAATAAACCAGTGACAATTCTGCTTCTTTTCGTATCAAATTCATTAAAATCAAACCAGAATTGACCCCACAATATTTTTTGAAAAACCATAGTTTTGAATGAAATTCACAGTGTAGCGTAAAATTGTAGGTAACGAATAATTATATTGCATGTGAATTTGTGTGTTGAACTAGAAAGACGTTGGCATGTCCGTTTTTTATTCAATTGAAAATGTTAGGACATGATTTTATATATTTATGTAAAAAGTATAAAAGATAATAAAGGGTAATAGACCACTAGTGCAACTTTTAAAACATATATAAGTCGAAGAACAAAGCCAACAGTAAAAACAAATACATCAGTTTCCGTCCACAAAACATTACACAGAAACTAAGAATTGAGCACTATAACATTTATCTCAGAATAAGTAAAATCTATGTCATCCAAATCTCAGTTTTCAAAGTGCAGAAGGAAAAACAGATGTCTTCTATTCCATCGGCAATTTTTGAGGAAAGTAAAATCTAAATTTAGAACCATAGTTGAAACTTAAATTACACATGTATGATAAAAATAGAACATGTTATTTTTTTTCTTATCAAATTCCAATTTTAAAGGGAAAGCGAAAATTTGTTTTCTTTTGTTGTGCTTTTGTGTCATTCAGAACAATTTTGAAGTATTTTTTTTGTTCTCAAGTCTCCATTGAAGATTATGATGGAATAGAGTATAAAAGTATAAGGTAGGGGAAGAAGGGGGAGGGGTGAAGAAAATAATGTATACAATGTCGGGTCCTTTTATAGCTGACTATACGGTATGGATTTTTCTCATTGTTGAAGGTTGTATGGTTGCCTATAATAATTGCTTACATCCACTTCATTTAAGGTAGCTGGGGTGTCTAAATGTTCAACGATAGATTTTTCTTAAACTTCTGTAAAAGACTTCTGGGTCAATGTAATTTCACAATTTCAAATTTCAATATAAAAACTGGGGATCACGGACTTTGTTTTTTCGTAATAATACATGAAATTGACGAAATTTGGGTTATTTTATATTGTATATTTAGGGGAAACTAAATTTTACCTTATCGTGGAAACATTAAACGATAGAATTGGCTAAAATTCGATGAGAGAATTTCTTTTCATTAATACTTTTGAAATATCAAATAAAAATAGGGGGTCACGGACCTTATTTTCTCGAAAAATCCCTAAAATATTTAAATTTACTTTACGACACTTAATTTTTTGATAGCTCAGTCTTTAAATTTCAAGTTTTAGGCATTTTATTGTATATTGAATGATACTTGGTAAAATATTTTTAAAACAAAAAAAGTATTTTTGCAACATGACCAGAACGGACGCTCAGAAAAAGACACCCGATCTACTTTAAACTGTGGCAGATAGTTTTCTCATTTGCAATCATACCACATCTACTTATTTTTATATCATATTAACAAAAAAGCAATTCATTTGCATTAGATACAGGCAGAATTCGTGTGGCACTACACTAGGTAAACTCGTATAGCATTACATTGTGAACAGTCTCCTTGCATTACACTAGGTACATTCTAATAAAATTACACTAGGTACATTTTTTAGCATCATACTGGATGGATACATCGCCCTTGGTACATTCTTATAGCATTACATCAGTACATTTATAGCATTACACCAGTACATTTATAGCATATCACTATACACAAAGCTTTAGCATTTCACTATACACAATACTATAGCATTACGATATATACACAATTCTAAGGCATAACACAGGGAATGATCTGTGCTACGGGAAGTTATATCAAAAACTCCGATATGTTTTATTTTGCTGAAATTTATATGCGGGTTCTTCTTTTGACCTTATTACAGCCATACAAATTCTCAAGATAATATGCAGATGCAGTTTTCTTATTTTTTGGATGTGGATATTTACCAAATAATGATACTAGAAATTATTTCCTTTGTTACTGAAACTCCAGCAAACATTATATCATGCTTTGTCGTGTAGTTAAAAAGAAAAGGGAAGGCGATCGAGACAAGCAATTTTCAAAATGAAATTGCAGAGTTGTGTCACGTGCACTTGTAAATAGAATGGGTGTTGTGCGCAATACCTCGAATAGCGCCGGAAATGGTGAGGATGAAAAGATGCAGAAAATTATATTTACTTTTTTTAAATACAAATATGCAGAAAAAGGATTAAAAAAATACGTTTATTCGCGATCCCAATATTATAACCGATTATTTAAATATGTATAGAATCATGCTGTCAACGCTTACCGGGGCAATTTCAAACTCGATATTTGATTCATAAAAATTAGAACAATACAAGCATTTCAAAAAAGATCGATGTGGAACCCTGTCTAATTCAGAAAAGAGGGAGTTAAAGTCTATACAGTAACTTTCTTTCACTTGCAGTATATTTATTTGCCAATTTGCACTTTTTTTTTGGCAGCAGAAATATCCTTAAAAATTAGTCAGTTTATTTCCTTAAAATTAAAGTTAGTTTGATTTTTTACAAAAAAAACCCCAACTTCTTGGGGTTTTTTGATATGCTGAATCTAAATGTGTATTTTGATTTTCGATATGGGGCCCAGTTTTCAAGTTGGTCAAGATCGGGGTTAAACACTAGACTTTGATTTCAACAACAAATAAATAGATGGGGATCTAACCGTGTATTTAGATTTTTGATTTTTTGTCCTGTTTTTAAATTAGTCCATATTAAGGCACTCTGTTTGATTTCAACAAAAAAAATGTATTGAAGGGGTTTTTTGATATGCTGAATCTAACCGTGTATTTAGATTTTAAGTTTTGTGGCCTTGTTTTTTCTAATTAGTCCACATTAAGGTCCAAAGGGTCCAAAATTAAAGTTAGTTTGATTTTTTACAAAAACTAAATTCTTGGGGTTCATTGATATGCTGAATCTAAACATGTATTAAGATTTTTGTTTGGGGCCCAGTTTTCAAATTGGTGAAAATCGGGGTAAAAAATAGACTTTGATTTCAACAAAAATTGAATAGATGGGGTTCTTTGATATGCTGAATCTAACCATGTACATGTATCTAAATTTGGATTTTGGACCCTTTATCAAATTGTTCCATATTAAGGTCCAAAGAGGCTATAATTAAACACAGTTTGATTTCATCAATAATTGAATTATTGGGTTTTTTTTATATGCTGAATCTTAACATGTATTTAGACTTTTATTTTGGGCCCAGTTTTCAAATTGGATCAAATTGGGATCCAAAATTAAACTTTGTTTGATTTCAACAAAATTGAATATATGGGGTTCTTTGATATGCGGAATCTAACCGTGCAATTAGATTTAGGATTTTAGGCCCCGTTATCAAGTAGGTTCACATCGAGGTCCAACGGGTCCAAATTAACCTCTGTTGGATTTAAAAAAAAAAAAAATTCTTGGGGATCTTTGATATGATGAATCTAACCATGTATTTAGATTTTGGATATTTTATCAATATAGGTAAATGTCCAATTTCAAAATTTTTATACCACATTTAATCTTTGTCAGAAACCTATGCTGTGTCAAATAATTAATCATAATCCAAATTCAGAGCTGTATCAAGCTTAAAATTGAGAATGGAAATGGGGAATGTGTCAAAAAGTAAAATAACAAAAATACCGAACTCCGAGGAAAATTCAAAACGGAAAGTCCGTAGTCAAATGGCAAAATAAAAAGCTCAAACACATCAAACGAATGGATAACAACTGTCATATTCCTGACTTGGTGCAGGCATTTTCTTATGTAGGAAATGGTGGATTGAACCTGGTCTTATAGCTAGCTAAACCTCTCACTTGTATGACAGTCGCATAAAATTCCATTATATTGACAACGATGTGTGAACAAAAAAACAGACGTAATAGGTAAAAATAGGGGAACAGCAGACAACATTGTGTTATAATCTTAATCACTATAAAAACAAACCAATATGTAACAAAGAAACACAAAAAGGCATATAGACAAAGCACATTAAAAAAAATGAGACAACAACCCGACCAAAGAGCAAAAAACAGCCGAAGG